GAAGAGCGTCATTTAGCTGGCTGGTGGTTAGACATTGGTTTGTATGCATCGTAAAGTGGGCTATTTCCATTTGGCTATGGATGAGACCACGGTCACACTCAAAGGCAGACATAGCTCTCTTCCCGGAGTAGAGTTACAAAGCGGAATTCTGGTAAGAGCCCAAAGGTAGATTGCGTATGAAGATTCGTGTCATGGGCTGACTAAACGCACTGTGTTTAGAATCAACGACGACTGTTGATGTTGCTCTCGTAGATCGGGCAGGCGGTCATCCGTTGACAGCGACTCACCACCCATGTTTGCGTTGAGAAAATTGATAGTCTGGCGTCCAGCTGAGTGTTGCCGACCGTGTAAGCTGAAGGAGAAGAAAATGAATACCGCATTGTTGCCCGGTTCAAAATATCAACGCATGCGGCCATTAACCTCAAAGGCAAAACATACTTTTCAGATTTGAGACCTACCAGTTTGAACTGACCACTTCCACTACGTATGGCTGTCATTGCGCCATCATCACAATCATTATCGACAGCAAGCAGAAAATAAACCACTGTGTTGGATTCTTTTGCTGAGTTATGTATGCATTTATTTAGTATGCTCAGACACCGGTGTCAACTGCCTTTTTATTCCCCTTTTCCTAGAATGGTTCACTTTCTCTGGACACCACAAACTCCACAACTGGATCGATCAAAATTTCTAAAAGAGACTGGAAATTTTTTTATGACGTTTGACCTATTAGACCCCAACAGAGGCCACTGTTGTTTCAGAAATCAAGGACCGCGAACACTACTCAACAATTGATTCCCGTGGGGCCCGTTGGCCAAATCGAGTTTCACGTATGTGGTCCCGGTACTGGATGACGACCCTGGTGCACAAAACAGTGGTCTCATGGCCTATGTGTACTGTGTCAAACCACGTGATGAACCATGAAATGCGGCTGGTTCAGTTAGTCTGGTCAACGCCTAAACAACTCGAAATAATATGGTGGTAGCAGCTCATTTAAGTAACGGTGAACAAATTTGCGCGTGTCCCACACGATCGCGTCGAAAGAAATTCGACATTTCAAATCCTTAACGGTAAAACAAGGTAACATTGTGGAGAAACCATGAAGTCACACGACTTCTTCATCCAGTATTTGTTAGAAGCACATCCGTAGGTCAAGTGCACCTCAGATCCAATTTCATCCTTGTCCATGATCCACATGATAAGTGGCCGTCGGTGGCTAGTCACTGGGATCACAAGAACACAATTACAGCCCATCTTCATAGTGATCAGTGAGAATGAAGCGTCCAGCGCAGCGTTTTCCTTAAAATAGGCTTCGAGAAATACTCCGACCTCCTCAGCATTTCGTTTTTAAGACGAAACAGCAATTAAAATGTATACTCAAAAGAGTCGTAGCTTCAGGGGGGCAAAAAGACATCTCGACCAATCATTCGGATACCGATCGGTGGGCTGCACCAGAAACTTTACCCAATCCCAGGTGCCCTTCGAAGTGGACTCGATGAGTGGATAGAAATTGCGGTAACTTGTATTAACTGGTCGTAAAGTGATACACATTTTTGAAAAAAAACTTTCTATGCACCACCAAGCTGTACCGTTAGATGATTAGTTTAGGTTGGCCTTTCACCAAACAAAACCCAGAACCGCTTGGTATCATGCGAACAACCCCGCTTACAAAAGTCGGTTATAGGCGAATTTGTCCGACTTTCAGACCGGTTATTTAGGAGGTGATCTACAGGTCGACCAGAGGAACAATAATGGGTGATTAATAGACCAAATCAATCCCACCAAGGAACTTGTTTACTACCACATGAATTTCTCCATCGGATGAAGAAATCTGACGACGAGAGGTCATATGTTCACAAAAAGGGTGGTGGGTCACAGAACACGTGTACGTAGTAGCTGCTTCATTAGCTGGGTCTTTGCAAACTGCAGGCCCTTTAGCTTCTGTAGAGGTAACTCATCAGGTCACGCGTCACAAACACACAAACCACGTGACAATCCCTGTCCCACTTGCGACCTTAGCCGACAACTTGCACAAATTCTCATCCGGCTACCACCTGCGTTACGCGCCAGGCTTATGAACTTCAACAGGTCATGTTGTATTCATGTTCGTGCAAGCATCAAACACGAAGAGACACCCATCTCTTCACACTGCTCACAAGAAATAGGCATACAACTTGGCTCAACACACAGACACACGCAGACACACTCGCGCGCACAGGAAAGGAAGTCAACAGAGCCCTACAAGTTTCCACGGCCAACTACGGAACACGTGTAGCGCCTACATTGCAGAGAAGACACGTCCCGTGTCCGGAACTTCACTCAGGAACTCTCAACAAGTGTCCAAGGGTTATTCGGACAGAGCTAAAGACTGGGTCCAATCCCCAAAAACAAAAAACATCTCTTTCACCAGAAGAGGCCACTTTGATCAGGCCCAACGCGTGCCTAACTAGGAGAGACAACTGCATTTCACATATGTAGACAACAAGAACCTTTCTCGAGTAGATATGCTATTTACACGTTACCAGGCAGAACTGATAAAGATCAAAATTGCCATTTGTTTGTTCAAACTAACACACAAAAAGCATCGCACACACATCCTGATATTCCTTGATGGCTTCTCACGTAGGCCCATTTAAACCTGAACTGTTACGGCGTCTTCTCAAGCTTAGCATCATCCTACCGCCTCTCTGGGCATTTCGATGTGACATGACGAGGATATTCCTTGATGGCTTCTCACGTAGGCCAATTTAAACTTGAACTGTTACGGCATCTTCTCAAGCTTAGCATCATCCTACCATCTACATAACAGATGGAGAATTGTCCGCCTCTCTGGGCATTTCGATGTGACCTTGACGAAACGCACACTCGGTTGCATATCCCATCGGTGCTGAAGAGATATAACAATCAACAGGATTAGGGATGTTAGCGAAATACACTCAGTTGCATACAAATGTGGTTTTGACGGGAGACTCAACCAGCTGAATCTCTCGTTCATGATGTTTTTAAGCAACTGAATGTGCTCTGCCAGTCCACTAGTGATAATATCATGGTCAAAGGGAGCGCGGAAGAACACAAGAATGTGGTCGTAAAGGTATCTAGAATTGAACGTCTCAACGTTTGGGTCAACGGCTTGGATACGATAGGATACAGGTTGAGTGAGGGTACCGGTGAATGGAAAGAACTCAAACCACATGAGTAGTGTATGTACACGTACCGCGATATCTCAAATATCGTACCAACTGAAACATGGATCAGCCTGGTGCAGTACATTCAGTTGCTTGAATGCGCTTAAAACCAAATCGGTGTGCAAATGAGTGTATTTTGCTAAATTCGTACAATTTGGGTTCAAGTCGAACACAAGGTTGACGGAAATTCGGGGACTGTGCCTACCTGATGAGCCCCAAGAATGGCGGAACCGGTCGTGATCTTCCAGCAACTTTATGAGTAGTGTATTACGTTTAAGGGCGTTACTTTCGTAAGAGCGACTTGTGAACATACAAATAGTTTGCGAGTAAACGTGAAAAGATGGGAGCAGATAAAGTTGGCTGTGTGTGGCAAAACTGTTTCACCTCATGGTGCTTCTCAAATTCGTGTAGACTCCGTTTTTGTATGCTGCCCGAAGCGGTTGTCTTTTGGATCTCCGACGCAGAATTCTCACCCTCTGTTGTTTACATGAGACTGTGAAACACCTTCGAGCATATTCTACAAAGACTCTCAAGGCTTCAAGGACATGAGTAAACAAACATGTGTTGTTGTCGCTATTGTACCCCAGCACCGCATTTCTCAGATCGGTGTCACTTTTGCGGGCTTCACTGTCGTAGATTTCACATAACTCCTTCAGTTTTTGGGACATTTAACACTGAGTTTAACCCCACCATTTAAATGTTTCCAATCGCAACTGAAATGGGAAACTTGTATTCGCGATTGTCCATGATTTGTTAACACTCTCAGCCGAGTACTTGCCCAAAGTGAATGGCAAGCATGTTGTTGAGACCAGTAGGAGGATGAGACGAATGGCAAAGCCATTCGACTTCTTGTACCAGGTTAGCAATGAATGCTTTGATCATCTCCGTATTAGTTGCATTACAAATAAGGTTCCAAACAGGGTGGAAGTGGAACAAGTGATGCTAAAAATCTTTACTCAGCAACCTTCGTTTTGAACGCAAGCGTTGTCTGTTGAAAACTTATAGCAATGAGTGCTTGTCATTTAGCTCTTACTACGCCTAATGTTCAGTAGTTCAACTGGCAGACCATCTAGTAAGAAGCTTGATTGATATAAAGGGGTTGGTGTCCATACCTACCTCTCATCATGTTCCAGGGTGAATTCCCTCAAGGAGCCACTATCCGCATCCACTGTTCGGTTTACGGTGCCCATCCTCGGTTTAGTAAAGCAGTTAACCGAACGGACTTCCGTAGTTTCAGGTGGTTCGTCTTTATCCAAACTGGGTAACAGCAGGGCGGATAGTAGCGGTGAAGATTGCGATGGTGTCGATACTGAAGTCGCGTGCTGGAAGGCCATGAGTCCTCCAGGTGAAACAACCCGTTTCAGTGATTTCTGACCACAGCTTGTGGATTGATCTAGCGAAGAACTGAAATATATGGGGTTTCCTGATGACATAGCACAAGTAGTATCTGTTACTGTCTCCGAATCTGTTTCTGCTGTTTGGTTCGTCCTCAGTTCCGCGTCGTTTGTAGTGTCATTGTCTCGGTTTGTCACAGCCTGTCCAAAATGAAAAGTAATCTACATTTGGAGCTACTGGAAACTAATGAGTAGTTCAGAATAAAACATAATCCCTACAGCACGATAAGCCCCTAGACAGCAGGTGAACCGTGTACCTCCGCTACTGCATACCATTGGTCCCACTAGATTCGAGGCTTTACACCGACAATATAGAAAGCACCAGTAACTTGAGAACTCCGAGAACTTGTTTTTATCCCACCAAAAAGTGAATAGTCGATGATGACCACTTACACTTTTGACGTCCCGGTTAAGCACTTTTACTCAGCAGTCATACGGAAACGGCTCTAGATTCAATATATTCACATCTACTAAAAGCACGATTACGAACTCGGTTTGTTGACGCCCCTCTCTAATGGGGTAATTGTTTCTACACTTACTCACCTCATCTATGGGTAGATATCAATGTATCTCGTCAAGTTTGTCCCGTCCCCTGAGAGGATCGTTCAGCAGAAGATCACGTACCTGACTTTCCTGTTAAGTGAGTGGTTGATAAAATACATTACCCATAGTGCATACTAGAGAAAGTACTGAGCTATAAGTTCAGGGAGCAGAAGAAACGCTTGATGTAGGAAAAACCCAACAGCCTGGTCTTGCATTTCTCTCACTTGCGAAAGAATCGAGTCGGAAAAAATACACAATAATGCCTCGCAAACTCCGTTGACGAGGACCGTGACTAGTTAGGTCTTTAGAGGATAGCCAGTTGGCAGAACTAACGCTGCCAACCTTTGGTGGATAGAGAGCGAACTGGCTGACCGCAAGGTCCTTGGTTCGAATCTGACTTCTGCGTCTCGGCTTCTCTTGCCTAGGCCTGGGTAACCAGGCACTATTCCAGCCCTTACCACACGGCAAGTGTTCCGTTGCGCAAGTAACCAAAACCCTGAGAACTAAGCTTCAATTAGTATTTTCCCGTGCAAGGTGTGATTCTTAAACCTAATGAAGATTTGACTACTTATCGAGTAGTACTCACCTGTGTTTTCACGTTGGCGCCCAAAGTCCCGTTTGTTGGGAACCACCGACTGAATGAAGCGAGACAAGAAGATGGTTACCAGTAAGGTATCAGAATACCAAAGGAAAAAAACCCATCAACTCAAGCCTATCGACAAAGTTTTGAATGAATAGCAAGCTTCCACGTCAAAATTTAGGGGCTAGTTGGGGCACTGAGAAAACCGTATGCTGTTCGGAACGCACTCTCAATAAACGAATGTCGGAAACTTCCAACTACAGGCGTTGAAAAGAAGCTAGTAAGCTGCAACCAGTACTAATGATCTACTTTGGAATGATCTGGAAACTGCCTGAGATGAGTTCAGATCTTATAAAAGGCACGAGCATAAAAGAGGACATACAGTTTGGTCATACACACTATGAAAGCCGGTCAGGACGGACGTACAGTTTGCAGTTCAAAATAACTCGAATAACATCGAACGGTAAATTCATAATGAGGACTGCTCATGTTAACTCTCCAGCCCGTTATGCTTACAGTGAGCTGCCCGATTCTTGTGTTCATGTACGTCAATAGAGATCTCTGAAACTCCTGCATGTGCATAGATGTTAGTCAACCACACACTAGAAAAAACCTTCGACAGACCCCATATGTCCCTTCGGAAAATGTGTTTATTCTTGGAAAAGGTGAGTAATAAGGACTGTCTATCACGCTTTAGCAGTCAGTTGCAAACTACCGATCTTCTCACATAAAATCCCCCTTTGAGGAAATGCAGATGTTGTAAATATGAACAACTAACTCGTGTTATCTAGTCAGGCTCGGATGTGTCGTAAAACCAATTGATTGGTAGTGGAGATTTCATCCTGTCAGTGAAGCTAATCTATGCTGAAAAGACGAGAAGCACTGTACAGCGGTGCGCCCCCCACGAAACTCCAATAGGAACTTTCAAACCCGCGACCTCCCGGTTAGTAGTTTGAACATTTAACCAATGGGCTTCACTCACAGGACAAAATTTTCTGTAAAATTCACACTATCAACCAGCAAGTCGATTATATGCGTAACAAGTTTCTATAATTGGCATCCTGTACGAATATTAAACCCAAATATCGATCAAGTGAACTCAGTCCAAGTAGTTGAGCATCACAGCTTTTTACTTTAACCAAGGCATAGCTTACCGTAATGACGAAATTTTCCGTTTTCCACTGTATCGAATCTTTACCCCTGTGGATTGTCCGTTGGTCAAACCAAATCTAAATTCCTTACCTGGTTGTAGATCGCCTGTTGACATGCTCAAATGGAGATGCACCCAACCGCACACTAGTCCCACGACTGGGGACGAAACGTCCGCAAGTAACGTGTCAAGCTCGATGAACACATCACCAGCCACCTGGTCTACAACCAACGCACCCGAGCTAAATTCCGTACTACTTACAAGTAGTCAGTTGTAATAAAACTGCGCAAACAGCCAGGGTATCCTGCGCTTGAAAACGACCGCAGCAGAAATAAAACAGCAAACACTTCAGAAATGGAAAAAGGAAAAATTGAGCCGCCCATACTTACACGACACGCTTTGCCTTGCGACGTTGGTACTCATTCTCGTCAACCACCCAGACAGATCCCGAGGCGGTTTCGACGCGACGGAAGCATTTGTGCAGCGACAGATTATGCCGAACGGCATTCTGGATTCCCGGGGAATATAAGGGCACGTGATGAGCAAAGAGAGGGAGAAGTGTTTGAAAGCCTCAACAACAACAGCAAGGGACAATAAAGATGACATTAAGGGGGGTACGAAATAGAACCTTACAACCCACTATTTGCCCAGGTTTGGTCCAATTAGTCCAATAATTACTCACTCCAGCCCACGGATTTACTCTCAACCCTTGTGGCTTGGTTGCAGCTAAACTAACTAGCTCGATCGATGAAACAAGTATCAAAATATTAAAAAAATCGCATGACGTTTTTGTCACATTAGTCTCTGCTTCCATTGAGTTGAGTTGTTTCAGTTTTGACTTGTGCTCCGCGACTCAAGTCGTGCAGAATTGCTAGGTGACACATGAGACACATGGGTATTTTCCATATTATTGGATTTTGGTGGGAAGGGACGATGGACTTCCTGGGGGGAGGTGGAAATTCCTATGGAAATTTCGCGAACGACGTGCAGCATGAGCTGTCCCGGGACGTGAGGGACGGGTACGTGTCTCTCGGCGAAATACACTCTGTTACAAAGAAAGTCGGCGATAACGCGAGACTCAATTGAATCTCGGATGAATCTCTCGTCCATAATATCCTTCAACTTATTCTTGTGCACACAGGCCATCTCATATTTCAGTTGGCACGATGGAGACTTGAAGCCATGTAGTGGACGGCGGAGAGCGCCCCACGGAAATCAATATAAACTCCAACTACTTCTGCCTTGCATAAGTAGTCAAATATTTCTGCCAATTCGTTGCATTGGTCACGGCAGCACAGAACTTTTGAACTCTGGTCTACTTCATCATACCGTGCTAGTCCGATGAAACTTCCTGAATTTGGCCTGTGTATCGTTCAGAAGAAGATCGGGCCGTTACGAGGAACAAGCCTCCGAGCACAGAAATAATCAACAATATGCGACAGAAAATGAAGAAAGTTTTGTTACAAAATATGAAGCGACAGTGAAACTTCAAGAAAAGTGGAAGGCGAGTCGTTTCAATCGTCCGAGGACGAAAAGACCACCTGACGATGATATCGATGACCCAGCAGATTTCCAAGATGGAGCTTGCCTAGTGCGGTTGTCAACCTGGTTCAGTTGGATTTCATGAGACACGAAAGGCAAGGACTGAACACAGAAGACGAGAAGGCTGAATCTACTGTGTTCACTTTGGTAATTATGGACAGAAGCGCATTGTACAGCAATTTTCAGGGAGGGGGGAGCCTGGGATTATCAGGAAGGTCAGATACCTAAAAGAAAACACTGAATGCCTGAAACCTACTGAGACCCTCAGCTCCACTAGATGCTGGCCAAACAGACAAAGCCCCTTCAGTATGCAGCGCTTTACAGCCCTGTATCAAACCCAGACAGCACGGTCAGCGTTGGATCAAGGTCAGACAACGCCCCCGCAATATGCAGCGCGTCTCAGCCTCGTACCAAGGCCAGACCGCGCGCGTCAGCATTGGACCACGTTCAGACAGTGCCCCTCCAATAGATAGCTTGAGACCGTTGAACTTTCGCACTCGCGCGAACTAACACTCTCGCACTTGCTCGTGCTGTTGTGTTCCCTTCTGTGAGTCTTTTCTCCGGCACTAGGCACTGGAGCGGGTCAGCAGCAGATACCTCAGATTGGCGAATCAGCAGATATAACAGGTATCAAACTCAGTTTATAAGACGAATGTCACTCGCAAGATTATGTTCTATACTCCTATGTTATGGCACCGAGATTAAGTTCACGCGAATACGAGTAAGGGCAAATAACCATCGATGAGTCAAAATCCCATCTGATGAGCAGCTTTATTCAAAAACTCAGCCAGTTAGATCCGGCAACATCTACCTCAGTTCTACGATAGATCCGCTAATTGTCAATAACCAATCCGAAAGATATCTGAGGGTAGAAGAATATCGACTACAGTCTGAAAAAAACCTGTGTACGATGGACGACAATGAATCTTAAGGCACTAATGTGAAAGGGAGTCGAATCCGGGTCATCGAAATGCTAATCCACGATCGCATCCACTGAGCCACCCAAGTTGGTAACTTCAGTTTTGGCCATTATCGTTTGGACTCTGAGGATAATAAAATCGAAACTGTTCCAGGACGTATCCAGTTTCGGGTCGTGCGCAGTTTGTGAATGTGTCCAGGTACCTAACGCAGCGTGCCGATCTCGCCAGCATATGAGAAAGGAGAAACCCAAGACATCAAAACGCCACAAAGAATAGCGACTAAGAAATGGACTAGTGCAGATAACGTTCAAGAACGTCTTTTGATGAGTGAGTGACTCCTCGCATAATGCAATCCACACCAGATCGCCAAAACGTTCTTTCGTCACCAAAAGACATAAGGCTGAAGCTCAAACTTGCACCATCACAGTCATTAGTTGGATGCCGTACAAGATCCCAAGATCAAAATCACATCGTTCCAAACACGTTGGTTGCTAGTAAACACCATGAATTATCTTTGTTTCGGAAACGACAACGTTGCTGCATTTGTGACAAGGTCTTCCCGTGAAAAAATGAAAAAGATGGATCTCGAAATGCGTACCCATCACCTTGCTCCTCCGTTTTATTTGATAAGGTGCAGGCAACACGGTAAAGTAGGCTAAGCGACCCCAGCTGTTCCAGTGCAATGATGTGATTTACTGAAGACGGGTGGCATGTCGATTGCTAGTTCTTTGGCGCTAATATAACCGCGAGAATGCACGGCCGTCGCGACAGAACTGCAGGCGGTTGTCTAGCCCGGTGAATCCGCACAAGTGCGGACTTAAGTATGCACACGCAGGCGTGTCTGCGCGACAGTATACACAGCCCCTCTGTTGCTATGACCACACCCACATGGCATGTCCAGAAACGGGATACCATGGTGTTTACATGCAAGTCCACAATGAGGACACGCAAACACAAGCCGAACTGCGGCGCACAGAAACAGCGGGGGGGGGAGATACGAATGCACTGCAGGAAACTGCATTGTTTACAAACAAATAGCGAGTACAAATAAATCTTTTGCGTCCAGGTTCCGATTGCCTGCCATCGTCGCCCTACAGTATTACTGATAATAAATACTATTACTGCTTCAGACCGGATGAGGAAGTTGACATCGCATGGATGGCACCCGTGCGCACTGCCATGTCTGGTGTTACGTGGTATTTCCAGTCGTATTGTTTATCCAATGCACTGGTAATGTTTGTGTACAGACGGTCATGAACAGGTTCGCAATCTGAACGACGTAAACCAAGTAGATTCGGATGAAACCGACTAAACTCGCCATGCAGCTAGATATGTGGGTTTTGCGTGATACAGGTGCCTCCACGAAACGAATCAGATCAAGTATTGATTCAGCGACGTCTGGTTCCATTGCCCGCGGTACTTGTCATCCAAGTCTTATATGAGTACACCTCTGCGTCGCTGGAAGACATTCTGTGTGTAAAACGTTGAAGAGACACACACATCCCTCCCTCCGCCGTACACAGCATCACAGCGACATGGACAACCTCTGGTAGGGTGACTTCACCCATGTTGGTGATCAACTCAGGCAATCACGCACCGTCGGTTATTTCAGATGAATGTTTCCGACACTGTCCTGTCAAGCAAACTTTAACTAATTTGTCGGTACTTTTGAAATGTGACGAACTAGGTGCTGTGTCTTTCATCTCTTGGCCGATATATTTAGAGGACCCGGCCAAGTCAAGAAGACAACTGTTGTCAGAACAGATTAAAAAATGCACGAGAAAAGGACGATACATCCATCGGCGTACCTCGCAAAGTCAAGGCAAGCTTTACCTTGGACTGTACACAATCAGGATAGTGAAACCCCATTGAACGGCAGCAACGGACGCGCGTTCAAATAGACGGTTAAGGGCACAAACTTGGAACCTGAGTATCATGCGATCGCATCAGGACGATACGCGATTGGATTGTTTTTCCTCCGGCTGTAATATCCTTTCAGTTCATAGCTGCCATGCTACCCGAAGAAAGCACAAGGGTTTAGGTGCCGCCATGGTGCCGTGGGTTGGGTTCGATCCATCGACCTTCCGGCCTCAATTACCGAACTATCTCGAGCTCAGAATTCATCCACTTCTACCTTGTACTGGCCGCTCGGAAAATTCCGAATTCACAGTTTACTAATTACCATTCCCTCCCCCCTCATGGGAGGTCATGAGCAGGTATCTAACTACTCACAAGTAGTTCCTAACCTAACGGATTCGATGCGCTGGTCTTGTAATTATTTCCTGTTTTCAGATGAACAAAAAATCTAAACGTTTTGCCCTGCTTTTACTGCATTCCCTCCCCCCTCATGGGAGGTCATGAGCAGGTATCTAACTACTCACAAGTAGTCAGATTCCTAACGGATTCGATGCGCTGGTCTTGTAATTATTTCCTGTTTTCAGATGAACAAAAAATCTAAACGTTTTGCCCTGCTTTCATGTTACTGCATTCCAAACGCTGCTAGCTATCACCTCACAGAAAACCGAGTCATCTCAGAAACCAAGTGAATAATGCCAACTTCAAAAACACGAGTGGAGTTAGAGACAACATGGATTTAGGCTCACAATTTCTCCGTCTTGGTACGAAAATCATAATAGTGCGCAAGCGACCGGATTCGTGAACGGAAACAGAAGGGTTGAATCCTACAAGACCAGCAGCGTTATTCAACAGCAGTCATGTGTTTGCATGCAATCACCTGCTCTCCGATTGATAGACCCATCAGCCTGGTTTTAGTTCCCTACTTCGTTTAAATGTTCATTGGGAATAGATGGGATGAAGGCGAGACCGTACGATCCTCCACTTTGATCAGAGTAGTTGAACTCACCACTGTGTAGTCGAAGATAGCGGAGCTGGCTGAAACAGCAACTACCAACTAAGTGTAGTCGAACTGTATGTACGACTTTGCTGCTCGTGTTCATCCTTTGGCATTTAGGTCGGATGGAGATTCTACGGCCTCTCCATATGAGGGGACCGATTCGTGCGGAACCACCCAAGCAAACAAAGTTGCGTCATCACACAAGCTACTTACTCATCCAAACGTCATGTCACTCATTTCATTATAACCCGACAGTGCGAGATCACAGGTTCGTTCCTCAC